ATTTTTTTTCCAAATTTAATTATTTGTTTATGTTCTGTTATTTTTTCCCAAATGTTTATTTTTCAAATTTAATTATTTTTCATATGAATCATCAGGATGAAACTACACTAATTTGTGCAAATATTCTATTTTGTACATGTAATTGAAGTTGATTATGCATTTTACAATCATAAACTTGCTTATAGTTTATAATCATTCTAACTTAGATGAAAATCATATAACAGATTTCATAAACCACCATGGTTTATCCCATCAATAGTGCTGAACCTAATTCCAATCCCCAACACACCCAAATTGTCTATCTAGACTCAACTTCTTATCGACGTGAAGCAATACGCCGTTGGAAAGCGAAACGGTTGCGTAACGCTATTCGAAATAATCCCATACCTCGCGGACATCGTGTTAGGAATGTAAAAACACTTATGTCAAAGCCTACACAAAAAGGTTAACACATACTCTCTCTTATTTTTATTATTTGAACAATTTTCACTCTCAACCCCCTTCAATTCATAAATTGTAAAACCTACAAATGTGATTCTTACTTTAGTAACTATTCATATTGAACAGAAAAAAGGGTACCTACAAGGAGAAGATGTGTTCTTGATTTCATTCCAACCAAGGCTGCTATATTATCAAAACAAAATGACTGCCCCCACTGTGGAGCAGTAAAATTTGCACATGAAATATTATTCATGTGTTGTGCAAATGGACAAGTTAAGTTATCAAACAATAAAATACCAGACAATCTTAAAGAACTATTAATTTCTTCTTCTGCGGAAGCTAAAGAATTTAGAAACATGATAAGAACATACAATAACATGTTTGCTTTCACTTCATTTGGTGTCAAATGTGACAAAGAGTTAGTACATCGAAAGAATGGAGTTTACACTTTTAAAGTACAAGGACAAGTATATCACTTCCTTAATCATTTAATGCCCACCAATGAAAAAAACAATAATCTCCAACTTTACTTTTTTGACACTAAAAATGAAGTTACAAATAGACTCTCATCATGTCCCAAATTATCAGAAACAACCTTGCAAAAAATGATTGATATCTTAAAATACAACCCTTATGCTAATTTTTTCAAGAGCTTATCTGATTATCCAAACTTAGAAAACTATGAAATTGTCTTAAGATCCATCCCTAACGTTGACCAAAGAGTATTTAACAAGCCTACAAAATCACAAGTAGCTGCTTTATGGGTAGATGGACAAGAAAATGTTGACCCAAAACATCGTCACATTAGAGTTTACACCCACAATGATGAATCTAGAACAATACAATACTACTATGGGTGTTAATGATGCTCTAAAATATCCATTAATGTTCCCATATGGATATTTAGGATGGCATGAAGGAATCCCAAAAAATAACAGTATGAAGAGGAAAAGATGTCAACAAGAGTCTCTAAATCCCAATGATGCTACCAATGTTGACGAATTATTACAGACGGAGGAAGACGGTAATTTAAAATACATGTATTTCTTAAAGCTATTAAAAATAATTACCACCTAAATATTTTCATTTACTAATATTTCCCTGTATTTATGTTTGAGTAGTGCTCGCAGCTTCTGAGGATGACCCGAACTATGTGTCTCTCAAAGAATACTATTCATACAAGTTTCAAATAAGAAAAAATGATGACTCTTTTCTTTTACACTTTGGTCATCTTTTACAACAATATATTGTAGACATGTATGTAAAACTCGAAACTCAAAGACTAGACTATTATAGAAGAGAGCAAGATGATATTAGGAAAGAATACATAAACGAAGTACAAGATAGCTATGATGCTGGAGAAACCAATGCATCCAAAATAGGCCAAAGAATATTTTTACCACCAACTTTCATTGGAGGTCCAAGGAATTTGAGAAGAAAATATATAGACGCAATGACCTTAGTACAAAAATTTGGCAAACCAGACATTTTTAACAATGAGATGTAACCCAAATTGGCCAGAAATAACAGAACATCTTATTCAAAATGGAGAGGCACAAAATAGGGCAGATTTTGAAGCTAGGATTTTTCATGCAAAATTTGAAGAACTAAAAATAGATTTGTCACAAAGACATGTCTTAGGTGAAGTTGCAACATACACATTTGTTATAGAATACCAAAAAAGGGGTCTCCCACATGCGCATTTTCTCCTAATTTTGAAACCACAATACGAAATGTATAGACCTGAAGAATATGACAAAATGGTTTGTGCTGAAATCCCAAACAAAGAAACTAATGAACACTTATATAATTCAGTAATTAAACATATGATACATGGTCCTTGCAGTTCACATAATCCTGAGAGCCCTTGCATGAAAGATGAAAAATGCAAAAGTTCATTCCCAAAAGAATTCTCACCAGAAACAACCCAAACGAAGGATGCCTATCCATTGTATCGTAGAAGGCAAAATGGTCAAAGAGTTAAGATAGGGGATGTATGGGTTGGTAATAGATGGGTTGTTCCATATAATGCATACTTACTTGCAAAATATGATTGGCATATCAATGTAGAAATTTGTTCAACAATAATGGCTATTAAATACATATACAAATACATATGTAAAGGAAATGATCAAATCAATTTTCACATTGATTCATCCCAACCAAATAAGCTAATTGATGAAATCCAACAATACCAAACAACCAGATGGATAGCTGCACCAGAAGCTATTTGGAGAATTTTTAGATTCGTACTCAATGAAATCAAACCTGCTATAATACATCTTCTAGTTCATCTAGAAAATTATCAGCCTATTACATTCAGAAAAAAAGATAAGCTTAAAGATGTCATTGAGGATCCCATGCGCAAAAAAACAAAATTAACCGAATTTTTCCATATGAATTAGACAAATGAAAAAGCCCAAACATTAAAATTAACTTATAATGAATTTCCAGAACATTTTATATGGCTAGATCAAGGCAAAAAGTGGAAAGAAAGAAAAAAGGGAAATTTTGTAGGCAGGATGGTTTCAGCGCACCCTTCTGAAGGAGAAAGGTACTATTTAAGACTACTATTATCGAAAGTAAAATGTCCAAAATCATATGATCACCTAACAACCTACGATGGAAAAACAGTCAAAACGTTTCGCAAGGCAGCTTTAATTCATGGGCTATTACAAGATCATAATAGTCAAGAACTTTGTATGCAAGAAGCATCTACATATCAAATGCCGTATGCATTGCGACGCCTTTTTGCAACATTGTCATATTACTGCCCTCCAAACAATCCAAGAGATCTTTTTATGAAGTTTGAACAAAACATGTCTGAGGATTTTGCAAGAGATAAAAACTTATCAACTTGGACAATCAGGAAAAGGATATTTGAACAAATTAATTGATTCCTGGAATGTTTAGGGAAAAACATTAATCAATATGATATAATACCATCCGATATGCAATTAGATGATATACAACCATCTACTAGAGAAATAAAAGCTGAAAAGAACATAATTGTTACTGAAGAAGACTTAAATTCCAAACATGCATTAAATGAAAAACAAATACAAGCATTTAATGAAATAAATGATGCCATTTATAACAACAAAAACAAATCATTCTTTGTTGATGGCCCCAGAGGAACAGGGAAAATATTTTTGTACAGAGTATTACTAGCAGATGTTTGGTCAAAGAATTTTTTTGGTCTTGCAACAGCCACATCGGGTATTGCAGCTTCCATACTTCTAGGAGGTAGAACTGCTCATTCTAGATTCAAAATCCCTCTTGATATTACCCACTCTATCGTATGCAGAGTTAGTAAACAAAGTACCCTAGCAAAATTAATCAAAGAAGCAAAATTCATTATTTGGGATAAAGCCCCAATGGTAAAGAGAACTGCAATAGAAGCTCTGAATACTCTTCTCCAAGATTTGATGGAAAACAAAGAACTTTTTGGTGGTAAAGTAGTTGTTTTGGGAGGAGATTTTATGCAAGTTCTACATGTAGTCAAAAAAAGAACAAAATTTCAGTCAATGGATGCTTGCTTAATAAATTCTCCTATTTGGCCATTCCTTCATAAACTCCAACTTACAGAGAATATGCGGGCACAATTTGATCCCAGATTTATAAAATTCCTCCTTAATGTTGGTGATGGAACTGAACCTTCAACAAATGATGACATGATTACTATTCCAACTTCAATGATTATCCCTTACCAAGATGAAACTAATTCTTTGTAACAACTTATTGATAGTGTGTATCCAAATTTTGGTTTATCCCAACAACATTACCACACATCAATAAATGCAGCTATTCTAACCACAAAGAACCAATTTGTCGATGAAATAAATGACATGCTCATAAATAAATTTCCCGGTACTTTGACTGAGTATACAAGTTTTGATGAGACCCTAGATCCCAATAATCAAACACAATACTAAGATTTTCTCAATTTAATGACCCCAACAGGCTTGCCCTCCCACAAATTAAGTCTCAAAGTTAATGCCCCAGTGGTACTTCTTAGAAATTTGGACCCCACAAAAGGTCTTTGCAATGGAACTAGACTAACATGTACATCACTACAAAAGAATGTCATCTATGCAAAAATAGCTGTAGGAGATTTTATTGGAAAACAAGTTCTAATTCGAAGAATCCCATTGGAACCACCAAGTGATGAACAATATCCAGTGCCTTTTAAAAGAACTCAATTCCCCTTACGCTTATGCTTTGCAATGACAATTAATAAAGCTCAAGGCCAAACACTTGACTCGGTAGGCATTTATCTGAAAGAACCTGTCTTTTCACATGGCCAATTGTATGTTGCTCTCTCAAGAGCTAAAACATCTTCAAGCATAATGGTTCTTATTAAACCAACATTTTTTAATAACAAATGTCTGGACCAGACAAAAAACATAGTGTACAAAGAAATACTCTAGCTTTGTCATCCTTCTACAGAGTATTTATTCTACCTTCTCTCTTTACATAATAATCCTGATTATACAATATTTTTTTATGCGTAAAATTGCTCTAATAATATTTATTTATTTATTATATCGCAGGTGAAAATGTCAAGGCAAAGGGTTATGATCAACCAAGTGAAACCACAAGTTGGTGGAAGAAGGTCAAGGTGGACTGCGCTCATTCAAGTGGTTGAAAGGTCTAAAATTCAACAAATTCGCTCTGGAAAGACAAATGAGATAAGAAGATATGTATTCACTGATGAAGAGGTAAAATAAAACTTTTAAAGTAAACATTAAAAATAAGTTTATAATGACTAACAGCTTTTTTTTGCAGGGGACAAAGGTTGGTGCTGCCATTTTTGACAACGATATTTGCTACTTTGATGATTTTCTTATACCGTGTAACTGATGTGGGATCTCAAATGCCTATGTCAACCGAGTTGATGAGAACTATTAAATCAGTGCTTACCCGTATTCATGGTTTATAAACAACAGCACCTTGGTTGAGCCACATGATGAACCAATACCGCCTTCTTTGCCATTCAACATAGACACAACTATATCAGACATACAAAAATATGCTGATTCTGATACTTCTATTAGTAAGTTTTAAGATACCTGCATTTCATAAAGAGTCTGAATTATTTTTATTACAGTTGTTACTGCCAAAAGTCAATCAATGGCGATGTTGGTCGAAATATTAAATGCATATCATGCAACCGAAATGTTAAGCTGGAGGCCAGGTAAATATTTACTCATACCCACTAAAAATCTCTTATAAACCTACCAAATGTATTTACATGAATGCTAAAAATAACTTAATACACCACTAACTATTCAAAATTTACCCCTATACAGAACTAGAATTCTGCTAGAATTGACAGACTCAACAGGCACAATCACGACATATGTCCTTGCAACAGAAGCTGAAAAACTCATCCGCGTTAAGTCTGAGGCTTTGAGAACTGCAGAAGATCAGGTACACATCACTCAATGATATTGCTCAAAACTACGCTAAATAATAAACTATCATTAACCAATTCAATAATCTTTTGTTTCCAATGCAGGATGTTGACCTCAGTACAACTATTCAAAATGCTCTAAAGCAACACAACATTGTTGCATTCTTCAGAAAATACGATAGTACATTCCAGGGACGTGCCTCAGAAAAATATAGTATTGTAAAATCATACTTAATCCAAGATCTTCTCATGAATGAAACACCCCAAAGGAAAGCATTGCCATTTGAAGAGATAACCTAAGAAGGAGATACGGAAATGACAGTGCAAACACCTACAGCAAAACGGAGTATCGACTCAGCAAGCCCAATGGAGGATATCAATCCTAGCCCCCAGAAGAAGCTTGAAAAGCTCGACTAAAATCCACATCTTACTTGTATTTTTACAAACTTAAATAAATCACTCCGAGAGTATTTAATGTAACGATACTCTATTTCTCGGATGTTTATATCCCTATATTTCATTCATTCTATAGATTTATGGAAATACTTTGAACTTATTATGGAGGAAATTTTTTTTTTTAATTACATTCACCACATACACATGTGCTATTAAGATTCAACAAATTGTTATCAATTGTTATTGACAAAAAAATCACATATATACAATGCGCGGCTAGGCATCACTAGTATATATATGGGGGAAAATCTAGAGTCCCGTTGGCCATTTTTACGGAACCATCCCGTTTTGTCTTCAACCAATTAAAATTGAGGGTATAAGATGTAATCATGTGGTAAATAACATTCTATAATATCATAAACTAATTGAGAAAATGATCACTTTTGCCAAAACATCAAGTTTCTAGCCAATTTGACCCAAAATATTTTTGGGAAACCAAATTCATCATCTAAATTTCATTTTATTGTCAATTTAATCCAAATTGATGAGAATTCTGTTAGATTTAATATTTTTACTGACATTCCGTTACTTTGTACAATTTATTATTGGTAAAAAACTTTGTTAACCTAAAATTTTAACATTTTATCCATACTATTTTATTATTCAGTAACATACGCTAATCTTACCATTTCATTATTATAACGTCCCTACCACATAATTTATCTTCTAATTTAATTCATTGCTCCCATCCTAAGTCTCTTCCTTTTTTTCCTCTTTTTCTTGTTTTCCGCTGCCGCACCACCACCGCCCCTTTCCTCTTTTCTCCTAAAAATTACCATCACCACTTTCTAAATCTGTGAGTATTTCAAACCATCACCACAAACATAAAAATTTACCTCCACCAACAGTACACAATCCTCCCTCCATCACTACCTGAATTTCCGTCGCCGCCACTTTTCTTCAGTTCCACAAAAATTACAAAATATTTTACTTATTTTTCCTTTTTTTTCGCTTCTTCTTTCTAAAAAAATTGTACAAAGTAATGGAAAAGGAAAAAATAGCAGTTACACCGTTTTGATCCCGTCGTCAATTTTACTCCATCGATTTTCGATTAGCCAATTTTGTCCTTTATGTTTGAAATTTTTGTCAGTTTCATCCAATTGGTTATATTTCCGTTAAACTTAACGGATTTTCGTTAGTTTTTAACAAAAATACCCCAATAGTTTCAAAATATTATAAAGATAACTCATAAAATATTTTGAGTTATCAAGAACCTGAACGTCGTTTTCATCCTTTTTCTTGTTTAAAAAAATGTAAAAATAACAAAATATCTCCTTTTCACTTGTATTTATTTTAATCTATTTCATTTTATTTCTATTTACTACTTTTCATAACCATGAAAATATACTATATGATCTTTAGAAAATAATTATTTATTTTCAACAATATTTCTCATGTGGAATACATTTGAGTTGGGTTTAGAGGTAATGTTGTCTTTTCATATTTTTTAAAAAATTTTAATTTGTCTTATTTAATTTTTTTAACAATTTTCTTCTTGTACTCTCTGACTTGTATATGTTGGCACTAGTATAATTACTATATTTCAAGAAAAAAATTTACCTTTTGTTTTTCAATTTCGAGGTTTAAAAAAATATTAAAAAAGTCTCTTAAAAAATATACATATTTATCTTTGTTATCAAATTCAATGATTGCTTATATAGTTTAGCCATCAGCAAAGTAACAATAACAATTACTAAAAAAGAATAATAACTGTGTTAATCAAATTTAAAACAATTCATCGTCGTGGACTAAATAAATTAGCACTTTTTTCTATTTCAAATGGTTATCTAATTTTTATATTATTTTTACTATCACAAATAAAATAATCATTTTAGGCTAGATCGAGTAAAATTTATATTTCGTAACTTACCTATGAACTACAAGAAGTCAAGGAGGAAAGACATGTTTAGCAATTTTTTTTTTATATATTTTGTTTCTTTAGAATGATAACCTATTAATTTTCGTATTTATTTCAAATCGATTTTTTCTTCCTCATTTTCTTTATTTTTTTAAATTTTTTTATAATCTATGAAATAAAAGGTAAATTAATTAATAAAATTTAGTAATTATACTAGTAGCAATAGATACAAGTCAGGAAGTATAAGAAAAAGAATAGTAAATTACAAAAAATAAAAAAATTAATTAAAAATTTTAAAAATATGACAAAATTACTTCTGAACCAAACTCACATATTTGCACATGAAAAATAGAGTTTGAAAATAAATACTTATAATTTTAAAGATCTTATAATATATTTTGATGTTTATAAAAAGTAGTAAAGAGAAATAAAATGAAATAAAAATAAATAAATAAATAATGAAAAGAGATTATTTTGTTTATTTTACATATTTTGGGGTTTTTTTTTAAATTTTGATATTATTGAGATATATTTTTGTTAAAATTTAACTGAAATCCCTTAAGTTTAACGGAAACTGGGCCAATTGGATGAAATCGGCAAAAACTTCAAACGTACAGGACAAAATTGGCTAACCAAAAATCAATGGGGTAAAATTAACGGGCAGTTAAAATTTTGTGTATAACCGTCATTTTATCTGTAACGGAATGTCAGCGGATGTGTTAAATCTAACGTAATTTTTGTCAATTGGATGAAATTGGCCAGAAATTAAAACTTAGATGATGGATTTAGCTTCGCAAAAATCTTTTTGGGTCAAATTGGCTAGACACTTAAAGCTTTGGGTAAAATTATCTAATTTTTCTAATTTTTTCAGTTTAATCAGGCTTGTTTAGGTATATTTACCTATGATGCACCCTTATTGTAATTCTATGATTGTTAATTAGTCTAATTAATCCTACAGTTATTATCTTAAAATGGAACCGTCCCGTAACAGGACTCTAGCCGCTCCCTATATATCTACTAGTGATGTCTGATCGCGCAGTGCGCGACCAGACATCACTAGTAGATCTTAGAAATGTTTGTATCTGGAAAAAAAATATTTTGTATTTGGCCCGATATATTTTGGAAATATTTGAAGAATTTTAGAAATGTTTTATAAGTGTGATGTTTGTATTTGGCAAAAAAATAAATTGTATTTGGCCCAGTACGTTTTTTAGAAATGTTTGAAGATTTTAGAAATATTTTATAAGTGTTACTTCTTAAATATAAATAAACTTGATCAAATATATGTCTTGAAGTAAATGCTAGACAAAATATAAAAGCATCCTAATAAGTTTAAATATTAGTAAGATAATTTATTGATTTTCTCCATTGGTTGTGCCAAATTAATACTTAGTTTTGGAAATTTATAATAACTTTGTAGTTATCTTCCTCCAAAGGGTATACGCTTAATTGTTGGAACTATTTCTTCCAAAAGTTTATAGGTAGTAAAATATCAAGAATATGATTTTGAAACTGGTTAATTGTTGAAACTGGTTGATTACAAATATGAGAATGAAAATAATGTAAATTTGCATAGGTTTCAAAATATAGCAAAAAAGAACTCACCTCACCATGGCAAAGAAAAAACAAAAAAGTAAAAGATAACCCATTAAAATTTGAAAATTTTTAATTTTTTTTCTGTAGGTAAAAATGATGTATAAAAACACAAATAAACGTAGAAACATCATTCCTTCCCTCTCCACCTCAAATTCATAAAAGGATTCCCCACAAATTAGTTAAAAGAAGCAACTTGAATTATTTATATGATGAGGAACTAAAAAAAGTCCAAAAACCAAATCCAAAAAAGTATATTCTTGAAACCCCGAAAACAAAAAAAGAAACGTGCTTCATTTGTAAAATAATAATAATAATAATAATGATAATAATAATAATAATAATAATAATAATTGGTTAACTGGGAGTATGAAACAAAATCAAAAGTAATTAAACAAAGAAAAAACATACTTCATAATTGGCCATATACGAAAAAAACCTGATACTCCATAATTAAAAAAAAAACCACTCTAATTGAATGAAACATAAAAAACAAATTTAAAAAACCACACTTTGTAGCAAAAACCCAATCAATCAATTCAATCCAAACATAACTAAAATCATACAAAAATTCTAGGCTAACTAACTAAATAAGAAATCACATCATACTACCTGACAACGGCTACGGTAGCTGTAACGGATGGACGCATAAAAATAATAATAATAACACTATTCTTGAACGGGAAAAACAAAAAATAATAAAAGCCAAACCAATGATCTGTGAAAATAAAATCATTTAAATTTTAATACCTGTAATGGCACCACTACAACAGCTGAAGCAAGATCAGTGAGAAGTTTTTTTTCCTCTGTGTTTATATAGGGAGGTAAAGAGAATATTTTTTGAAGTTGAAATTTTATCCGATTATGATGTAGTTGATCATCACTAATGAAAAGATTGAACATGCTAATAGGAAAGAAGTATATTTCACCACATATTCTCAATTGATGATTGATGAGGAATTTGTTTTTTTTTTTAATTGTGGAGAAGTGATTGATTAAGGAGTCGATTGTCGTGGAGATGTGGATGAGAATTTGGGTTTTTTATGAACCTGTGGTTTTTTTTTTTTGTTTGTTTTGATGAAAATAGGAGGTGGGAATGAATTTAGACTGCATTTGCCTTTTAAATTTAGGAAATTTAGTAATAAAAATTTATTTTAAAAATATGATGTGGAAATGCCACATGGCAAATGATGGTGCTTTCTCTTAAGTGTGATTTTTGTTTCTAATATAGTAAGATATAGATAGAAGAACAATATTAAGTACTATGTTCACACTATAACAAGTTTCCGACTTTTTTTTTTGTCACACCGATGTTTTTTTTAATCTTGCGATATTGTACGATCACCAATAAAAAAACGGAAAAAAAAATTACAAAAGACTATACTGACATTTT